GTGTGTGTGTGTGTGTGTGTGTGTGTGTGTGTGTGTAATTTTGTGCAGAACTTCCTCTCAACCCGAATGACAGAAGCGTAAAAAGCAACATCTGACCTTTCAGGTGTCTTTTTTTTTTAAATCCTCTCACCATCCGTTCCACCATGACAAGATGAGAAAGCAGCTCCAGTTGCCGGGGGCAACAATGTCTAAGTGCACATTAGGTGACACCGGTGAGTAAATGTCATTGTGAAGGATGTGGCACAGATGTGAGCCTAAATATTTCACCCTAATAATCTGTCAACCAGCTGTGCCAGATGTTTCAGATACAAGCCCACAGACTGAAAAGACCTTAAATACATTGATGTTAAAATAATGGATTATATCAGTTTGTTTGTTTTAATAAGAGGCTTGTGTCTCTTCTCTCTGGGAGGTAAGATTCACATCTGTAGAGTTACACTGGAGGTAAACTCATTCCTGACAGGCATGTTTTTACTGCATGATAAGGAGGGGACGCTTGATTTGTCCACATGTGTAAACTTCAGCTCCTGACAGACAGAGGAGTGGAGCTGTGAGTGTCCTCCTCCTCCTCCTCCTCCTCCAGCTGTGGCCTCAGCTGATCCCACTGCTCCAGTGTCCAAGGTTTGAATCTCTCCACAGCTCTGAGCTGCCAACACAGGCCTGTCCCTGTCTGAGTCAAGGTACAGAACACGAGCTGCGAGAGCACAGGAAGTCACACCATCAAATAAGATGAAGCGAAATCAAATACCATTTTTATACCTCAGCTGTCTGTGACAAAGACTGAGTCATGTTCATAAACTTCATGTTTATCGTCCTTTTTATGCAGCTGAAAGCATGAGATCATATAAAACGATGTGGAAACTTCAGCCAATGTTTGAATCACAGTTGCAGAACTTCACATTTTGAACGAATTTCTGCTTCTATTCAGCTGTTTTATTGTGAAAATGACCCCCGGAACTTGTATGTTATAGTGTCCGTGTTGACGCATGGTCACTTGTTGCACGCAGCGCGCACAGGAAACCTCAGACTGTCGAGCTCATCCTGCAAATACCCAGAGTCTCCTCAGATCAACTCTTGTTCCTCAAAGTTTTTACGAACCATCAGGCTGCTTCCACTTCTTCAGTGAGCGAGGCTGAAGCGCCTGGACTGAAACCCATCACAGTCCCATCACTAGTGTCCATCATGTCTGGAGAGGAGGCTCCAACTCAGCAGATGAAGGAGAAGACCCCGGAGCTCTTCTCCTGCCGGGCCCTGGTGCTGACGGGTCACGGCGGCTACGACAAAGTGAAGCTGCAGGCGAAGAGGCAGGCAGAACCGAAGCTGGGGCCCGGGGAGGTGCTGCTGCGCGTCAAGGCGTGCGGGCTCAACTTCGCCGAGCTGCTGGGGAGACAGGGGCTGTACGAGCCGCTGCCCCCTCCTCCGGTCACGATGGGGATGGAGGGGTCCGGGGTCATCGAGGCCGTGGGGGAGGAGGTGAAGGACAGGAAGGTGAGGACAAACCAAAACACTAAAGTCACGTGCTTCAGGTGAAGTTTCCCTCTGCAGCATTTGTGACTGAAAGCAGAAGTTTACTGTTGAAGTGTGTTGAAAAGGGTTTTTCAGTAGATCTGTCAAATCTTTAATGTCAGAAAGGTTAAAACAGCAATAGTACGAAGTTTACATATGTGTATTTTTAAGACGACGTGCAATTGTAGTTTTGGACAGTTTCGATCTTTCCCAACATCTCCATGCATAAGGTTGCAGGAGCAGGCTGCTCAAAGTGACACTAATAAATACCTTTCCTCTGTCCCGTGCATTAACATGGATCATGCCACTCTGCTGAGTATTTATACTGCTTTGATTTACAATGTGCCCTTGACCTGTTTTTTCCTGACTCAATAGGCTCCACTTGCCTTGATAACAGCTTTTCAGACAAAGGTCACATTTTATGGTCTTTTAATTTACTACGTGTGATTAAAATGTGCTAAATATTAATACGGTTTGTCTCAACACAAGCGCAGCTGTAAAAGCCTAACGTGTATTTTTCTACGTGGGTTTCAACATCTGATATTGTGAGTGATTCAGAGTCCCACACAGTTGGATCTTTCACCTGCTTCCTGCTCCGTAGCACTGAACCAGAGTCCGAGGGCTCCACTGGTGATTTGCGCCAGTTTAATTTTTACAGCGGCGTATAAAAGCTGGAAAGTGATGTGACTCACTGCAGGCGACCTGCTGCAACCTTTCCGGGTTCAGACATGGTGCAAAGTGAAGCAGCAGCACAAGAACCTTTAACACCATCTCTGGTGATCTTGAGGTGTTTACATGTTCAGTGATGCATAGAAGATGGGAAATGCTCCAGTAAATGAGTAGCAGAGGTGAATTATTTGCTCTCTGCAACATTTCAGAAACTTCCCTCTTTATTTTTCATCCTTTCATGAAATGAGGAAGCGTCAGAATAAGTTGAACCATGATCCGCACCAGTGTTTTCAGGAGAAATGAAGCGTTCACTCTGAGCTGTGCAGAGATCACTAACGTTGTCACAGAGCAATGCATCATGGTTCAACGACCCTTTTCTGTTTTCACCAATCCTTAAAAACTCTCCGTTCGTTGTTTGATGAAAATATTCAAACTCAAACTTCTTATCACTTACATCAACGTGTACCGACGTGTTTTCACACGTGTGTTTTCACAGCTACACTTTAATGTGTTGTGTTTGTGCACTTTACAAACAGCACAAGGATATAAGGCATTAACAGCTACACGGGTCGGACACAGAGTTGTAACTTGAGAAATTTAATAAAATGGAATATATTTTAATCCGTATTGTTGTAAAACACTAATTTCCCAGAGAACAACTCACTTTTTTATTTATATATCTTCTCTGTTTGTGTTTGTAGAACATGCTGCATTATTTCCTGCTATTGTTTTTCTGCCAGTGTTTCTAAAGCTCCTCCCTGTCCCTCAGTGTTGCTATGGAATTCCCCTCCTCCTCCTCCCTGTCCACTCCAATCCCACTTCTCTCATTCCTCGCTCCATCCATCTCTCCATTTTCAGAGAACAAGAATCTTACAGGGGGGAGTGGTGGCGTTCCAACACCTCTTTTTTTGGAAGGAAGGAAGGAAGCAGATAAACACACAGATCCCATGAAACACCAGATGCAGCAGTGCAGGGATGAAGGGTTCAGACATGGGTTGACAAACAGTCTGTGTTTTCAGATTCAACTCTGCATCTGTTTGAGCATCGTACCTCGATTGATATTTGGAAGATGGGAGATCTGTCCTGCAAAGAGAAGCTCATGTGTCGTGTGTGATGAGAGGATGAGTGGTTGAGCCTGAGTGATGTTTACTGACGTTTAGTCTGATTTGGGGTCTCACTCTTCATTTTGGAGCCCCTCAACTGAACTACCCAGCTGTATATAACGTACCTCAAGCTTGATCCACTATACGACAAATACTGCTCACTGTGGCTGTGTAAGTATTTTGTCTTTGACTATAGGTACGTGTGATCAGAGTATTTCTTCCTGCACCGTCCATCTTCATGTTTGACTATTGTATAGCACACAAAGCAAAACATCTGTTGTGGTTGGACATGCTTTCTAAAGGATAGGATACAGATGTGGAACCAGTTAGAATTATTTCACTGCAACAGGCACATACTGTATGTGTTTGTGTGTGTGTGTGGGTTTGCCTGCATGTGTGTAGGTGTAAATATCTGTTCTATATATGTGTGTATATAATAATCATCATGTGTGAAAGTATCACAGGAAGTGGTGCAGTGTGTGCACTTCACTGTTTTGACAAGTTGCAAAGCGGCACACAACACAGGAACCCATAAGCCCCCTGGTCTGACCTCATATGAAACACCTAAGAAGCATTAATGGAATGTAACGATATGACGACTATGAAGATGAAACAGCAGCTACTTTTGACAATTGATTTATATCATACATATGTTTATATGGTATATATTATTTATATTGTGTATATAAAGATGGATGTCATGACAGTCCCCCAAAAGTGAAGCCAAAATATCCTGATCGCCCCCTGGTGGTCTGGCTCCAAATGGTATCATCAGCGCAAGATGGCAGCTTTTAAATCTGCAATATTTTGGATTCATTTCTAGATAGTGGGAGGAAGTGGAGACGTGTCGTCCATCTTTAGTTACAGTCTATGGCCATAAATGGTTTTAAACTAGATATCTGTTGGTTATTTAATGTGGTTCAGACAAAACAAACACATTTCACAATTTTCAGACATTTTATAGAGCAAATGATTTTTATTATTAAATAAGAAAATATTCAGCAGAATAATCAATAATGTCACTGATCATTCGTTTCCTAAGGTTAACTGACTCGTCCTCTGTCAGGATGAATATGGATGTTGACACAGAGCAGCAGCTTGATAAGTGAACCTCATGTCAACGACACAATCACGTCCGACGACCTCCTGCCGACTTGACCTCAATCTTCCATCTGAGGGCACCAGATGCACCACGGGGGGGGGGCAGCTTCAGTCTCTAATAATCAAGAGCAAAGTGAAACAAGAACCTGAGCTGGAGGAAGAGGAAATTACCGTTCTTCTCTTTGACATGTTCAAAAAACATCCGGCTTTAATCTAAAAGCCATTAGAACCGTTTCACCTGGAATAAAGAATGAGTAATGTTGGTAATGGATTTCCTCCAGGCTTTGAGATCTCTCAGATTGATGCCTCCACCCAAACACAGTGGGTGTGAATACATGTTTGTTTTGCCTGTTTTCTACTGAACAAATAGTTCCCCTCAGTAACCTGCACCTCTGCACCTTTCTTTCCTCCCTCAGGTAGGAGATCGTGTCATCGCGATGAGTCGTTCCGGTATGTGGCAGGAGGTGGTGGTCGTGCCCGCTGACCTCACCTTCCTCATGCCCGAGGAGATGAGCTTCGAGGAAGGAGCCGCTATCCCCGTCAACTACTTAACGGCCCACATGATGCTGTTTGAGATGGCCAACCTGAAGCCGGGCAAGAGCGTCCTCGTACACATGGCTGCAGGTAAGACACAGTACATACATATAGTATAATGTATAATGAATACTGCTGATCAATTTCTGATGAGCAAATAAATTGAGAAGCCAGAAAAAAAAGGATTATAATATAGAAGTATAGAAAATTAGTTTTAGGAAGTGACAAAATATAAATAAATGACAAAATCCAACAAGTTAAATTTATTTATCTAAAGTTTTATGTTGTATTAATGTGGCACAGAAAACAGTGTTGATACCTGAATCAGGTGCACGTTGGTGCATGGTCTCCTCCATGATTTCATAGTAACATAAATATAACCTAACACACATGTCTCCCGGTCTCATGGGCAACATGTGAAAAGTCGCACAGCTCATTTACTCCAGGTCACAAATCGCTCCTTTGAATGCGGCTGCGTTTCTGTTCCGAGAGACCGCAAGTCACAGGTGATGATGTGGGCATGGTTGCTATGGCAACATCTGCCAATTCACAAAGGGGCTCCGTCACCGTAACAAGCAAATATGAGTCATTTCCTTAAGCTCGTTGTGTATATCCATAAATAATCATGGTCTCAAACGGTATCAGAGTTATGGTATTGTATTCTATCATATTGTATTATATTGATGGAATTGACTTATTGAAATGCAGTGAGAAATACTAGTAAGTACAACTGTGTGTACTATGGCATCAGATCGGTCAAGGCTGTGTGGTTCATTCTACACTTCAATATGAAAGCTTGACTGTTTTTTGTGTTTAAAGTACAATTCAGTTGTTTAACAAAGGCTGTGATCGACAGTATGAGCACAGGTACATGGCAGATACATATTTCAAAATAAAAGCCTTGTAAAGCGGGTGTGTAGGAAGTAGCTGTGGTGCGTGAGATCAGCTCTGTGCTACAGCTTCAGCTATTTCATTGTTAGATGCTGTTACTGTTCTCATGTGTGTGTGTGCTGCTGTGTGCACATCTGTAGGTGGTGTGGGTATCGCTGTCACCCAGCTGTGTCAGACGGTGCAGAATGTGACCGTGTTTGGCACCGCGTCAGCCTCCAAACACGAGACCATCTCCCAGGGCGGCGTAACTCACCCCATCGACTACCGTACCAAAGACTACGTGGAGGAAATCCACAAAATCAGCCCAGAGGGTGAGAAAGGACGCCTGTCACATTTCTTACTGCACATGTTCTCACATTTCTGTCGCGCAAAAACCCTTCACCTCCGTCTTATCGTCTCTCTGCAGGTGTGGACATCGTCCTTGACCCGCTTGGTGGCACTGACACCCAGAAAGGCTTTAATTTGTTAAAACCAATGGGAAGTCTGATAGTCTTTGGTAAGACATCTGGAGAAATTGTTTCATGCATTTGTTGATTGATTAAATCTTAATAATACTGTTTTCCATCATTTTATTACAATATAAAGGTAATTTGGTTTTAGATTTCACACAGCATCGCTCACACGTCTAAAAGGAATATTGCTCAGTTAAAAAGAGAAGAAAATTGCTTTATTTCTCCGACACAAGCTGTTTAATTTGTGTGAATATGATGAAATACGGGTCTTGTTTCACGTTTCCCTTCATATAATCAAAATCTGAAGGTTTCCAGACACCAGGGATCCTCAGAAGTCTCTCTGTTACATCAGCCTCATTCTAACCAAGTTTTCAGTCTGCAGTTATGTGATATGTGGTGTTAATGATGAATGAAAGGTTAGAAATGAGCTTCTGGAAAAAACAAAAAAGCTTGAAGACTGTGTGTGTTTTTTCTTTTTCTTTTCCCCGTTACGTTTAATTGAAATTCCAAGGTCACAGTTTTATTGACATTTCGTATTACACATCCTGTGGCTCCTTTTCCTTTTATACTAACTGTGCCCTCAGGTTGTGTGTTCAGTGCACACATCCCAGTATTACATCTGGCAAGTTCAAGCAAAAAAGGCAATTACACTAAGCATCGTATGTCTCCTTTAATTCGGAATGTGCAGGTGGAATTTTCCTCTATTTTCTTACTCCACACTAAATGAAAACGTAAATAAACGATATAGTACGTGATAATTTCGCTTAATTTAAGATGTAATCACTGATTTTCTGTGGGAAGAGCCCACGTGTTGTTTTCTCTGTATCTGATTTCTTTTTCTATTTTATTATTTGTTTTCCAGGCGCAGCCAATTGTGTGACAGGCCAGAAGAGGAATCTGCTGGCGATGATGAAGATCTGGTACAACCAGCTCACCCTCAGCACCATGAAACTGATGCAGACCAACAAGGCCATCGGTGGCTTCCACCTCGGCTACTTAACCGACCAACAGCTCATCACCAGGACGATGTCGCAGCTGCTGGAGCTCTACAGGCAGGGGAAGATCAAGCCCCGCATTGACTCCTGCTATCACTTCGAGGAGGTCAGTTCGATCACGTTACAACGTGAATCTGAAATGAGTTTGGGTATCCACCTCTACTGGTCGCTGTAACCGTAAAGACATCTGCAGAAGTGTTTGACATCTTGGGAAATACACATACATTGTCTCTGTCTCCTCTAAAGCATCTTGTGCCTCTCAACCTTACAAAACCTCCTCCTGGTGATTTCCTCTCATTTTGCAAATTCAGAGACTAATTCCTGGACAGATTTGGGAAATTACAGATATTGTGAGTGAGAGTTGTCTCTTGTTTTGAATGGAAACTGACCTTGCGTGCACATCCTGTCTCTGTTTAGGTAGCAGACGCGATGCGGCGCATGCACGAGCGCCAGAATATCGGGAAAGTCATTCTTCTCACCGAACCCAAGAAGACGGAAGCGAAGCCTCAGCCTGACAAAGAGAACGAGGCCCCAGAGGAAGTTAAAGAAGAGAAGGATTGAGTGTTTATCTGAGTGAGGTTTTCAAACACTTCTCAACAAGGTTCCCAAGGTTGTTTAAAAAGGAAAGAAAAGAGAAGAAAAGCAAGATGCAATTCTTTGTCAGTATTTTTAAATGTTTATAAAGATTTATTGTGTGATATTTCTGTAGTGTCTATGTTTTTAACACTTGTGTTTTAAATAAAAGCCAACAGTGCGCAGCTCAATGTGCAGACTCATCATGAATTGCAGCTAATGCAAAAGGTGTGAAGAGAAAGACTGAGTTATCGCTCAGTCACAAGTACGAACCACTCTTATTCAATTATTCAATAATCTGCTCTTAAAAATGCATAAAATAAAAAAGACCAACGAAGCCCTTCCATAAAAGGTTTACCAGGAATTTAGATTTATTTCAATTCAACACTGAGTAGAATGTTTTAAATGTTTTCAGATTTCTGTAAGATCTTAGAAAAAGATTTCACTATTCTTAGGGTGATCACTGGTCCTTCAAAATAAATTAAATTCAACTGTACAAGTACGAGGCCTTAAAAAGTATTAAATGATCTTAAATTCAGATTCACACCGCGTAAAAAATGTCTCTACTCTGTCAGACGAAAGCAGAAGAATTACCAGTTGCATCATCAAGTTTATGTGTTGAACTAATCTCTTGTAGCCAGCCTGCGAGTCGGTTTATCAACATGGGGAAATGTACGTTTCTGTGTTGTGTGTCTTTCTTGAATCAATGAGGATCTTGGTCTTCGGTCTTCAGTCTGATTTGAGGTTAAAAAGTCTTAAATTGAACTTGTTTACGTCTGTAGACAGCCTGTGTATGAACTGAAGAAGAGTTATTACAGTTTAACATTGTGATGCATGTAAAATGTTGTCTGTGCTGCTTTAAACAAACTGGCTTGTCAAACATGTCAAGAAAATATCAGTGGATAAAAAAAATGAAAAGTACATTTCCTCCGCTTTGTGTTTTATTTTCAGTTTTTCTTTCATCAAACCTAAAACTTCAAAGTAATTCAGATGGAATCAGAAAACATTACCGAGACTTGGTCGTTTCTTTCATCCTGTTACAGATGATTAATGAATCAATGAGAGTATTACATCAGTTAATATTAGTGTAAAACTAGTTAGAATTAGCAGCAGTGAACTGGAGTCTAGTTGAAGAGATTTAGATACATGATACGTGTCTGTTTGCATCCTCTGGACTCTTGTTAGACAATATAATCTCTGTAGGATTGTCCAGGTACTTTTAATTATTCGATGAAGTGTCTCACCACGACTGTGAATAACATTTAGAGGAAACGTCCCCGCCTTCGCAATCACTCCTGGGCTTTCCTCTAAACAATGTCACACTGATCCTGAGCTAAAAAAATCGTATTATACAGGGAGTTGGTCAAAACTGGGCTCCAGCTTTGTTTTCCTCCTCCTCCTCCTCATCCCTCTCTTCTTTGTATTTCTGTGCTCAACCAGCATTTGTGAAACTTTTGCAGCTTCTAGTGTTGGATTATAAAACTTCCCTCTGATGAACAGAGGAGTTTGGGGTCAGTAATGCAGATGTTTTGTCCAGCTGTGGCTGTAATTCAATGCCATGCAGACCACTCAGCAGAAGAGTTTCCTCCATCCAGCTCGTCACATTCCTCTCTCCTGCTCTGTCTCTCTCAGCTCTCTCTCTCTCCCTCTCCAGCAAACGTTGTTTTGATTCCTACAAAGCTCTTAAAACTGAGTTTCACCATTTAATGTCTTATGTTATTTACATCTGTGACATGTTTTTCTTTTTGTGGCCACTTGGAAAAAATATTCTGGTCCTGCCAGGTTCCTTTCTCGTAGTATGAAAAACCTGATATGGATTCAGAGCAGGAACTGGAGTCTGATTGTGATTATATGAATTTCATCTTGTTGCAACCAAATAAGGAATCAACAGAATATGTCAACAGGCAAATTGTTCTGGATCTGTGAAGTTAAAATGTGTAAAAACACTGTGGAACTTGTTCATTTCCCTCTTTGCAAACATTCAGAGAAGCTAAATTAATTGTGTCTGGTTGCAGTCAAAAAGTCAGAGAACACAAAAAAACCTGTGGATTTCATAATCCAAAGTCTAAAATGTGAGAAAAGTGTCATTTTAAATCAGTGATCTGCTGAAACACATGTTCAAGTTATTCACGCATGCAGTTAGCGTCCTCTAGTGGACAATTAAAAACAGTGACTTTGCACAGGTAATTAAAAGGTTGAGATAATTACAATTGAACCACCTCAAATTGGATTAATTTTGTTCAGATGTGAAATGTATTTAATAAAAACCTTGTTAATAATAATAATAACTTTTCAATACAAAGTGCTGCACACAACTAAAACAAATAATTAAATTCAAATACAGAAGGAAGTAAAGAAATAACAATGGTAGTAATAACCATAATAACAGAGAGAAAAGACCTGAATCGAGTGTGAGAGTATTTGGAGCTTAGTTAAAGTCATTTATTGTCAGTTGTTCACAAAGAACACAAACCTCAGCTGGAAACAGCTTTTAGGAAGTTGAGCATCAGTCATAAATATCAACCAGCAGGGGTCCTCCTGTGTACACTGAATTCAGAGAGTCAGGTCATTTCTTCACATTCCTCACAGCCGAAGTCACAGTGACCTCACAAAAATCTTCTTTTGCCTCCTTTTAAATTTGGCCCCAATGTTCACTTTTTCATTCATTCATTCATTTTTATTATTTCTAACATGTAAATACTAAAAAGGTAAAATTGTGCAAACAAGTGAAAAAAACATTTAAAAAGTTTTATTTAACTGGATGAGGATGACATTTTTTTTTATCTTATCTTATACTTATATATATACCAGCTTCCTATATATCTATAAATATGTTGCTTACCTGTACTGTATGGTGTATATAATGAACACAAATAAATATTAAGTGACCAAATAAAGAAACACCAAGAGAGTCAAAGCTGTGAACATATGATTGTACGTTATTTTAAACTGGGTTAGACTCACAGATTCACAGGATAAAGTAGTGCTCGTGGGTCCAGGTCACAGTGGCCTCACAAGACATGATTGTTGGCCTCTTGAATATACTGTAGGTCAAAGGTCAAAGTGAACTTAAAGTATGTATGTAGAGTGAAACCGCACTGTTTGAGGCTGAGACGATGACATATTTTACATAACTCATAACAGGTAACAACCCACAGAGGCTTTTTGTATTTATGTGCCTCACCTTGATAACGAAGCATCTTCACAGTTATGAAACAGGTTAGACGTGTTCTTGGTTTTGTGATGAATAAGTCACAAACAAAAAATACTAAAGTGTCAGATCGAAATGAGAGAATAATTATGTCAATAAATGTGTCTTCAGACATGAACTCTGGAAAACATCCAGGGTTATTGAGTCTGCCTTTCACAGATGAACGCAGCAGGAGATTGTCTCCAGAACTCTCCAGAGCGTTCAGGTGAGGAGTGGCAGACGTATGCAGAAGATTTTAATGTAGACTCGATGCATCAAGGAGACCAGAAGGTGGAACAATAAACAAACGCTAACAGAGTAACATGAGCAACTGTCACCCCCAAGTCTGAAGATGTCTCCCACAGCACCCCCATATATCTTCCTCTACTTGTGTCCCTCATTCTAACAGCACATCCATGAATGGCTAGAATTGCTGTCACTCTCATGTAGGTGTTTGATTTCTATTGGATACTGGTGTAATATGCAAAACTTGGTGAGAGTTAAAGTTGGTGCCTCTCTGTCTGGGGCATCTGAGTTAGATATGAAAGCTTAGACACTTCGGTTGTTGGTCCTTTATCTTTAATCTGACCTTGCTTAGAGAGAGAATGGAGTATCTGTGGAATTAACCAGGCACTCTTCTCTTAATGATTTACAGATATAATGTAATATACGCTATATATACATAATATTGTATATAGTGGCATATACAGTAATGTGTGAGGATACACAAAAATTCCTCAACTTCTTGTACGTTTGCATTTTCACATAAACTCCATTTGGATAATTTCAGGTGCTCAGTTCAGGTCTGAAAGCAGCAGAACATATTTCTGTATTCCCTTTTATAAAAATAGCTAAATGTAATTTTGAAATTATTTCAAACAGCCTTACTGTTCAACATAGTCTGAATATTTTCCAAAAACGTGAAGAGGATTAGATATTTACACTGGACAAACTTAACTTTAACATAACTTTAGGCCTATGATCCTTGAACATGCACCCTTGGTAAACCTGATGTAGGCCTGCCACTAAAACTGAGACACAGATTTTAAAAAAAGCTCTCTCAACTTGATCCAAAAACCTAGAAATGATTTTAAGATTTTATGTTCAGTCGTGTTTTTGTGCAAACTTTCTCGGAATATGAATGTATTATCAACGATGAGGGAAACCAAAGTCCCTTATGACATGGTGCACTGAACACACAGGGACCACACCATTGATTATAAAGGGTGGAGAGGCTGAGATGGTTGGGTGCGGTGATAAGATTGTGGTTATCGTCCCCTTCCTCTTCACCAGTCAGCAGAGAATGTGACTCTGGCCGTTTATCTCACTGAAAAGTTTCTCCAGTCCTTTGCACAGCGGATATTTCACACAGTCTTAAGAAATTAGACAATGTCCTTTGTTTAACCCTCAGCTGTCTGCGTGCAGAGGTTGTCAGTCCTTCTCTGAAATGCCCTCATGTATTTTTAGACTGACATTTCCAGGATGAGGCAAAGGGACAAAACAGTGGCAACTTGTGTTGGAGCTACGAACACGTGTCTCAGAGAAGCAGCCTTTTGATCGTCAGTTATCGGTGGGTCTGTTAATATTGTTGACGTAAGGATGATTACATTATGGTACAGTTATGTGACTGGTGCTGGAAAAGCCTGGGTCCAAAAGTGCACGACATAAAGACAACTTAAAACATGCAGTAAAAATT